GACCTTCTCAAGAATGCCCACCTGTGCCCCTGCCCAGGCCTCAGAGTGTCCCAACCCTGTTCCCCTTCCCCTTCCCTCTGGTCTTCACTTCCTTTCCCATTCAATTACCCTCAACACTTCCCTTCACTGTCCCTTTGACATTCTACCCAACCTGACCCCCAAAACCCACTATGGACCTCCCCTGTGTCCCTCCTTCATTCCCACTTGCTAGCTCAGTGGCCATTAAGCCCCCGACCCCTTGGACTCCTGCCCTGACCCCTCCTCCCACAGTCCAATTACTCTCAGGGAGTCTTCATCCCCACCCTCCAAAACTGCTCGAAGGTCCCCGACTACCCAGCGCTTGGGAATCCAGGCGCAGCGCACGCACTGCCGGTGTGACTTGCTTCACACCTACATCAGCTGTCATATAGCATCTTAGTAAAACACAGATGTGAGCTCACAGCCCCTCAGAGGCATTTCATCGCCTTTGGGAGAAAGTTCCTCAGCCCTGCTGGCCGCCTCTGCAGCCGCAGGACCCCCCTCACCACACTCCATCCAACCTGAGCAATTCCTCCACGTGGGCCAGCCCTTTTCTCCTAACTGCCTTGGCTCCAACTGTCCTTAGCCTGGGCATCCTTCTCCCACCACAGCTGTTGTCTCCCTGACCTCCCAGGGCAGGGTAGCTTGGTCACCACTGCATCCCTCGGACCAGGCCAGTGCCTGGTGTAAGTCTCTGAATGAGGAACCTGGCATCTCCTACCCCAGTCCTGGGAGCTCTCTCCTGCCGACCAGGCTGGCCCTAACCCTCGCCCCACCTTGTGGGGGAAGCCCACCTCACTACTGATCAGGGGAGAGGGACTACTTCTGTGCTGATGTCTAAGCTCAACTGTGAAAACCCAATTCCGAGCTATGCTGCTCTCCGGGGCTGACTCAGAGAGGACTGGCCTAGGCCCAAAGCCACACAGCCAGGGGGTTCCAGGGAGGCCCTCGGCCCCTGGTTGCCCTGCCTGGGGAAGGGAGGAAGAAAGGAGGCAAGCGGCGTACTTGTTGTCTGTGATGCTGTACACCTCCACGGAACTGGTCAGCCCCGTGTCCGTGACACCGGCGGCCACAAAAATGCGGCCATCGTGCACGGTGGCCCCGAAGAGTGACCGGGCCGTCTGCATGGGAGCCAGCTCCTTCCACTCAAACTTCTTAGGGTCATAGACGCACATCTTGTTCAGGCACTTCCTGTGGGGTGGAGGCAGTCAGAGAGAGCCAGGCAGCGGGAGCAGGGCACCTCCCGCCTTGGCCCAGTCCCTCCCCAGGCAGCCAGGACACCTGCCACCCTCTGCTGCACCCACTGCGGGCCTGAGCCTCACCGGTCGCTGTCTTTGCCGCCAATGACGTAGACAAGGTCCATATGGGAGAGCACCGCGTGGCCGTACAC